ATGGTTTGTCATGGCGGAACACCGCAGGGAGTCTCCGATTTATTAAGTCAAAGCTGCACAGAGGAAGCTGTGTCGCCCCCTCTGGCACTGAGAGGAATTACACCAACAAAGATGCAGCTCCTCTTGACATAAAGATTTGAATGTTTAAACTTTTGCATTTTAACAAGCGTGTAAAATACACTTTACCAACAATTGCAAATAACTTGTGATTGTTGTTGTTGACTTGTGTCTTGGTGAGTCTGGGGAAACACGAGAGCTCTGACTCACTCGGAGGAACCGCAGGAGAACTCAGGTGTGCTCGTACCTTTTCATTCCTTTAGGTGCCGCCCTCTTACAGGCGGAGCAGAGAAAAGCTCCACCCAGAATGGCCAGACAGGATCCGCCCCACCCCATGTAGAGCCCCGTGCTCAGCTCGAACCTGAGGACACACAACGAGACATTATTAGTATTTTAAGATATTTTACTCTTAAGTAGAACATTTGTTTGTCATTAGCTCCTCCGTGTTCATTTATTTGGCACTAAGCGAATCATTCAGGTTAAACATTTAAAAGTAGCTTTTTAACTCGACACCACTCGATATTCCTGAAACGTCCATCGTGTTTCTTCTAGCGACTTCGTTCACATTCAAAGTCTCTCTAAAGACCCGACGGACGCGCAGCCTGGCTGGACTCACTTCACTCCGCCGAAGAACGGGTTGTGGAAGTCCTGCACGACCCTGTAGGCGTACCAGGAGACGGCGATCATGCAGCACAGACCTGCGACACAGAGACAAACCATCCTTTCATTGTTCTTTAGTTTCTTCATTTAACCAAATATGATTGAATATAAATGCTGCTGTAACCAGATGAAATAGTAATCATCCTTATTTACTCCGGTGGCTTCCTCACATCGCCAGTTGATTTGACATCTAGTAGCATTTTAAAATGTGTTGTTTCATTGCCACATAATGTGATGGGTTCAAGTGTTTAGTGTGAATGGAACAGGAGGAAGATGCTCTGGAGGAAACATTCCACATGTATTCATCTCTCCCGATGTTAAGCTCACCTGCGAGCATGCTCAGGACGCCGCCGCCGACCGCGATCTTGGCCTTCGACTGGTCGGTGGCCGAGCCGATCTTGATGCACTTCAGGCCGAGCAGAGCCACGACCATGGAGCCGAGGCCGAGCAGCAGAGACATGATCATCAGGGCACGACTCGCCGAGATGTGAGCTGCAGGCGAGGGAGGGACACACAACACGACACCTGAACATTAGTGTGTATTCTGATCCAAAGATGGATTCTAGGGACATTCAGAGCACTTTGAATGCGTTTCTCTATGAACAGATGTTTCTGAGCACAGTGACTGAGGCACCAGGAGAGAAGGAGGAAGTGGACGTGGGAGTGTTTTACAGCTCATTTATGACCATGACCTCTAATGGTCGTAGAAACCAGCCGCACCTCTTTATGAGCCTCAAGCTGCCAACAAAAGGGCTGAACTGGGAATCAACCAACAGAGACGTTATTCTTCGTCATTAATTAATAAATCCGTCACCATCTTCTGTGGATTCATTTGACAAACCTATTTTCTTCAAACAAAGGCAATAAAATACCACAATAATGGGCGGGGCTTTAAGAAATGTTTCTAAACGTTGTAAAAGACGTCAAACGTATTAGTTTGTTGAAAAAGTATTTAAATTAAACATTTGTTAAAGAAATAAAAAAGGATGAATTTAAGGGGAAAATGAGTGTTTGAGTGGTTCTGACTAGGAAAAGAAAGTAAACTAATACATAAAATTAATCAAATAGATTGTAAATATTGTTAATATTTTTAGTTATCTTATTTATTTGTATATTTTTACTCGTTGTGGCTCCGTCTCATCGAGCGTTTCCCTCCGTTTTATGGTCAGTTGAGGCTCAAAATGGCGGCCAACAGATAATCTTACACGTCACTGGATGGAAAACAAACGCAGATAAAAAACAACTTCCCTGATATTTGCTGTGGAACTAAAAACCAAGTTGTGTGAAAAGTCGTGTGTGTTTTTGTCTTTTAACAAACTAAACGTTACTCGGTTTCCGGCGGGAAACGTTTCCACCGTAAATCCAGCGACCTTTGGACGAGGCCCTTATGTTTACTGATAATTACCATTAAATCAGTTAAAAGCTTCACTCAACAACCAGCTTTAGTTAAGCTGAAAGCTGGTTTCCTTCAGCGGCTTCAGGACCTCAGAGATTGTCCACGACGCTCGAACACGAAGGCTCTTGATCCATCGGACGAGGCTTCCCTCTCACATGAAGGAGACATTTTAACCCGCGGGGTTCCGGTCTTACCGGGGAGGGCGAGCAGCGACTCAAAGTCTCGGCACTCGGCGATGCCGGCGCTGTTCTCGGCGCAGGAGTGCCAGAGGTTCTCGAACTGCCGCTGGGAGATGATGACGCTGCCGGACACGGTGGACATCTTCCAGTAGTCGTTGGCCAGCGCGGAGCCGGTGATCAGCCAGCTGACGATGCACATCACGAACCCGGTCGCTTCCACGGCCGTCGACATGGTGGACGCAGAGCAATCCGACAAATGGCCTCGGGGGAGGGGTGACGTGGGGGGTCGGTCTGGAATTAGAGGATCTGCTCGGGTGTTTGCCGGAGGCTCTGGTCTCTCTCGCTCTCCTGCAGTTGTTGATCTGACGCCTGCGGCTCCACGGGAGAACTTTACCCTCTGAGGGGCCATAAACCACCGGAGCCGCTCCCTGAAGCCCAACCCCCCCCCCCCCCCCCACGCCGCCTGCTGCTCAGTATTGATTACAATGATGACGATGATGCTGATGATGATGATGATGATGACAGATGACCACCGCACCTCAAACCACTGAAGGCCGTGCGGCTTCAGACCGGACCAACGGCTCCTGGAGTCTTCAAACAATGAGTCAGAAAGAATCTTCAGCTTCAGCGGTCGAGAGCTTCAGAGGAACCGTTTGTTTATTGGCCAAGCGGAGCTGAAGGTGGACGGACCGGGGGACCAACAGGACCTTCACCAGGTCACTGCTGTTTGGGAGCCATTTAAACCCAAATGCTGGTTGATTGGTTTCCGTGTGGAACTTTTCACGACGTCACGTTATTTACGTGTTTGTACCGATCTCAACTTTAAGACGAACCCTCGCCCGTTACTTTGTGGACATTTTGACGCCTCGTTTAGTAAAAAGTCCACGTTCGGTTGAACTCATCACAAACTCAGGGAATCGTGTATAATATCAAGAGGCAACATTCATTGAAAAACATGTAACTATTTCCTACTTTCACAGCTTGTTTAAATCTGACTAAGCAAAACTTTAAAAAAACGAATATCGTGCCAAAGAGTTGAGTTGAGTGCATCAACGTTACCAAATCTAGTGTCTCACTCACACGTTCTAAATAGGCCGAGGAGCCGCCGGATGCAGCTGGTAATAAGGACACAGCTCGGTTCCCGTTGGGTTTTTGGGGAGTTTTTCCTTAAAGATGCGATGATGTCAGATTGAGAAGCAAACCTGATCAAGGTACCTTTACATTCCAGGTTGATTCTTTTATAATACATCACAAAGGACAAAGAGGACAAAACAAATGTTGTTAGTATAAACAGAAAGAATATTGAACAGATATTCAGATATCATATTAATGATCCCTGAATGAGCTGCAATAGAAACTGAAATAACCAGCAGCAGTTAAGAGATAAACGTTTCATGCACATTTATTTACTGCTTTGTACGTCAGTACAAAGTTCACTTTAAACGTCTGCATTCATTTCTGTCTTTATTATTTAGCTGCAGCATGAAAGCATCCGTTGTTCTCATGTGCAAAAGAGAAACTATCATCAAACATTAACACACGAGACGTGAACATTTTCATCATTCATACAAACAAACAGTAAACCTTAATGATCGTGGAGGATATTTTGATCCATGCAGCATGTTCATGTACATATGAGAGCGCATTCATCCTCCTCTGCAGAGAAACTCGACATTTGATGCTTTGCAGGTTTTATTGAATGAGAATCGTTCAGTCGGCGTCTTGGTGTTCGTCGGTCGGTTGGAGAGACGAGAGAGAAGAAGCTTTTCCCTCCAATGAACCTCTTCGTGAAGACAGAAAGCAGAACAGGAACATGTACAGATGTTTAAGTGGATCATGGGCCGATGTCGGACTGAAGCAGAGATCTGTTCTGCTGTGTTTTACAGCTTTATGGTGACGGTTAATGTTTGATAACCACCAGAGTCCGAAGTCTGTCTCCACGGCGACGCAGCGATCATTAATGTCATCAGACTGAGGAGTGTGAGCGCTGAGGACGGTTGTCAAATGGAGTATAACTTCACCAAAGATCCACGCAAACACGTTTTCAGTATTTATTTTGATTCTTTGGGAAGAAACAGGTTTGAATATTAGTTGAAGATACAAAGTGGACAAAGTCGTGGAGACGCCACCCGTTAGTTTGTGTTTATCTGGAAGTGATCACAACCGGACAGAGGAGGACGTGGAGACGTCTCTGATAGAGACCTGTCAATCAGCGCGTAGCCCCGCCCTAAAGCTTCCCCTGCTTCATGGTCTGTTTGACTCTAAATAGACCATAATTCACTAAATGAACATCATGTTGTGTTGAAGAAGACGTGAAACTAGAGACTGAGACCATAAACTCATGTTTACAATGTTTACTGAGGGAATAAATCAAGAGAGAAGTAGAGTCATTTCCTCATAGACGTCTATGGGAGCAGAGGAGTCGCCCCCTGCTGGTCACTACAGAGAAGTAGAGTCATTTCCTCATAGACGTCTATGGGAGCAGAGGAGTCGCCCTCCTGCTGGTCACTACAGAGAAGTAGAGTCATTTCCTCATAGACGTCTATGGGAGCAGAGGAGTCGGCTCCCTGCTGGTCACTACAGAGAAGTAGAGTCATTTCCTCATAGACGTCTATGGGAGCAGAGGAGTCGGCCCCCTGCTGGTCACTACAGAGAAGTAGAGTCATTTCCTCATAGACGTCTATGGGAGCAGAGGAGTCGCCCTCCTGCTGGTCACTACAGAGAATGCAGCTTTAACACAAGGAGCTCTTCAGCTTCCTTTCCTCACTCTCTCTCTCTCTCTCTCTCCTTGAGCATATTTTAAATGAATTGCATTAATAGTTCTTTCATGTCACTTTGGGTCTCCGGGTTTTCAGGTGGTTGGGGGACGGTGGGGTCCAAAAAGAAGAAACGCCCGACGGACAGAGGTCATCGCTGATCAAAAGGTTAAAGTAAAATGTATTTAATAAAAGAGATGGCGTTGCGGTAAAAAGAACATCTCAGCTGAGGAGCCGCTGGTCTCAGCGACCCACAGGCCCCAGGTCAGTCCTTTGACATCCCCTAGTGCCCGTCTGTCGCCTCCACCAGCGAACTCCAGAGCATTGTTTCTACAGGTATTATAACAATGCTTAAGGTGTGAAGTCAGTGTCCACACTCTGGGAGTCTTCTGGTGAGTTCAATGTAACTCGGATTTCGAATGATCCTTAGTCAATATCAGTGGTTGTGCAAGTATTACATGCATGCATTCCAGTTGATTACATTACATCAAATACAATCATAACTGCATTGGTATTATTCTAGTACAGTTGCAGTATTACAGTGGTTTTACAATATTGTCATTACTTTATTGATTACACAGTTTCAGAATCATGGCTGTATTCTGGTGTAAACTATATGCATTTTTATTAATTTTATGAACCGGGTCGTATATTTGTTTCTAATATCCTACAAGACAAAGACACATAAATACACAAAGACGCAGACTGAGATCAGAAAGCGTCTCAGTCGAGTGTAAAATCATTTCTTGCCGTTAGCTGAGTTTCCATTTACACGTTCAGGTCGTCATTTAGAAGTTTCACATGAAAAAGGCCGTCATGAAGGAACCAACCCAGAAGACTTCTCTCGTAGCTGATTGGACGACTGAGGGCTTGTTCTCTTCTTCTTTTGCTTTGTTTGCTGGAAGATCACAAACCTGTGACGGACCGGTTGAGGGTGAAGGAGTCGCTGACAGTTGAACAGAAACACGAGTTAACAAACACCCGGGAATGATCTTCCCAACGAGCCGAGTCGTGTCGACTGTGAGGAATCAACAGAAGATGCAGATCGGCCTCGAGGCAGAAGAAGACCAGTCGGACCGGCGGGCCGGGATCGAGCCTCCGCATTCAGACACGCCTCCTTTTCCTTCACAGCGACGGATCGCCGTCACGCTCGCTCGTGCTCTGAGAGACACATCGGACTCTGGATATGAAACAGAAGAGACTATCCGGGATATAACTGTCCTGTTTTTGGAGGATCCTTCTTCTCTCCTCTGGGATGAGCTGAGGGACGGGAAGTGAGATCCTCTGGATCCTCTGGATCACATCTTTGTGGAGTGGATCTGTTCACACACAGGTGGGATTTGAACATGGAGGATCTCACGGGATCCCATCTTCCTTTTTTCACCTTCCTGGACTCTCGGGTCATAAAGAAGAGACGCTGGTGATGAGGATGATGAGGATGATGAGGGTGATGAGGGTGATGTTCCTTCTCAACGTTACAAACTGTGAGTTCATGTTAACGAGTAAGTTTCTACTCTTACGAGTTGATAATATGTGACACGTATGAGGAATAAATAATGCTAAAAGTTAAATAATATGAAGTTCTCTAATCATCATTACGTTAATCACAGAAAAGTTACCTGACAAAATATAAAAAAAGAATAATTATCTAAATCAAACTTTAAAATATATATAATTAACCGTGAAGAAAATATTATTATTGTGATTATTACTGCAATATCTACGTGAATTACACCCCAAGTCAGATAATATATATAATATCCTAACATGTGAGGTTTATAATGTAAAGTGAGGAAAGGCCATGAAGACATCATCACGTCTCCTTAGATTAAGATAATGTTTGACAATTCGGGGACGAACGACTTCTTTACTAACCAGTGAGGTCTGATATTTCAACCCGGGACTGGTTGTCCTGCCAGCGGCTGTCTGGATGCTGCCGTCTCCCGCCAGCGTCTCCATGGAGTCCGTAGACATGAGACACGTCCTGAAGTGGCGTCCTCTACAAGCCCGCTGCGTCCCCGCGGTCCTTTACAGCGTTCAGTTCCAGGGGTAAGTCCTTCCAGAGACTCTACTGACCTTTAGGATTCATCCGCCGCGGAAAATAGACCCCGACAGATGCAGCAATTGGTTAAAAGGAGGAGATTCATTTATAAAACTATTCAGTTGTGTTTTTAAAGATTCAAGTCTTCAGTAGGAACCAATGGGAGCAGAGAAACACGGACAGGAAGTCAGTCGGCATTGAGAGACGCACCAACGCATTGCTGCTCTGTTTGTTCTGAACCTACTGACAGAAAAGAGGAATGGAATAAATAAGGAATAAGAATCTCTGTTTGAAGAAAAAGAAAGATTCATTATCTACATCAACTTTATCAACAACAAATTTTATTTTGAAAATATTCGTCTCCATAAGATAACAAATTATTTTCATTTGATTGTCCAAATATATGTGGTTAAATATTCCCACGTACGAGTTCTTAATGACTTTCTGTTCATCGATATCTGCACTGCAGTAAAGGAACGCGGTGACGTAATGGACCACGCCCGTCCTCACCTTAGAACCGGTCTGCTTAATTAACATTCCTGCAGCCGCTTTGAAGTGCTGCGTTGGCGAGGTGGGCGGAGCTTCGTGGTGTGGTGCAGCCGTTGCCCCCCCCCCCCACTGCTCCACCGCTCTTCTCTCTTTCTGCTGCACTCAAGAGGTTTGATGCTTAAACATCAAAATGAGAGTTTACATAATTCAAAACAGGTTTCCCCAAAACTCCCCGTGACGTATTGTTCTATGTTCAGGGACATGTGGACTCGTCTCACGTGTCCCAATAGCAGAATTCTGGGTTTAGTCTCTCTGCGTCCTCTTGTCCTTCAGGGAGTTCGAGCTGACCCAGAACCGGTGGGTGGACGCTCCCGACTGCCAGCTGATCCCTCTCGCTCAGTGTGACCTGACCTTTGACCTGGGCTCAGACTCCGACTACAACCTCCGCATCAGAGCGCAGTGCGGCTCCCAGAGGTCGGCCTGGACCGACCTCCAGCCCCCTTTCAACCGCAGAGACAGTGAGAGCGTCTCTGCTTCTATACGGCTAATTACAACTTGTTCTAGGGTGCTTTTACTGTGAAACTCTCACACAGAAACAGGAAGTGGTGGTTATTGTTTAAAAGATGAGTTTGTTTCGCTCTTTAAACAATTGTGACGTACATTTCGACAGTTGGAGACACGTGAAGGATTTATGACTCATAACTGAATGTTTGATCGTGGATCTCGGCAGCGGTCCTGGTGGCGCCGGAGATGGCGGTGACGGTGGCGGGCGACGCCCTGCAGGTGTCCTTCCTGCAGCTTCCTCCCACAGCCGTCGTCATGGTGACGGTGTGGAAGAAAGGCCACGAGCTGCAGGTCCCAAGTCTACTTCCTGTCTCCTTTCCTTCTCCCTTCCCCTCCTTTCCTTCCCTCGTCCTCGACGCTCACCTTTTCTTTTTTTTCCCACTTCAGTCTCATTCATTTTGTTTCTACCTTCGTCGCTGTTGATTCATAAATAGCACAATATCAGTTTGTTCTTCGCTGTCTTAAGATTCCACATTGAGAGCAAAGTCTTCTTTGATGCTCGTCTCCTTTTGTCCAATAAGCATAAATAGAATAAATGTTTGTTTCTTATTGTTGTGGTTAAAACAAACCTCTCTGTCTGTCTGTCTGTCTGTCTGTCTGTGTGTCTGTCTGTCTGTCTGTCTGTCTGTCTGTCTGTCTGTCTGTCCCTCTCAGGCTGCCGTGTATTCGATGCCGGCGGAGCAGGTGGTGCTGCACGTCGCCGCCCTGCAGGAGGGGGCGCAGTACTGCGTCCGAGCTCACACCGCCCTTCACACGCGGAACAGCAGCAGCACGGACACCGAGTGTGTCTCCATCGCAGGACGTACGGGTGTCCTCCCCTTTGTCTCCTCCCCTTTGTCTCCTCCCCTTTGTCTCCTCGTTAAATTCACATCCTCCAATTTTCAAACTGCCCCGACTTTCCCAAAGCAATTTACAAACGTGTTTCTCAGAAAACACGCTCGTACTTCTATAGAAATGTCCCCGTGTTCCGTATTCCTACTTTTCACCATAGTTTTACTTGTTGTTTCTTGAAAAGTCTCTTTTTTAAGGATAAATATTGACCACAAATGAGTTGATGAAAATGATTAACTCGAGGAGTAAAGGATGAAAGTCCCCTCCTGGTTCTGCAGGTGCAGACGGCGCCTGGAGGAGGCCGACCGCGGTGAGCGTGAGCGTCGTCCTCGTGGTCCTCGTGGTCCTCGTGTCGGGTTTCCGGTTCGCCGGCGCCCAGAGCGCCTGTCGGACGCACTTCCTCAAAGAGCCGCTGCCGCGCTCACTGGTCCGTGCAAGTACCACATCGTACACGTAACATTCAATACAGCAGAGAACAGGTCTCAGTGCTGTTGTTAAAATACTGTGAAAATAAAAATACAGGGATGGTTAAAAAACAACTTAACTGAGAAATTGATGGATTTTGATACAATATCTAATTCATTTTCAATGTGAATGACTTGTTTGGGGACTCAGGAACCTGATTGGGACATTAAAATCCCGATGAGGCCGGAGGAGGCGGAGCTTTGTCAGCCGATCCACGTGACCAGCTGACGGGACGGGACCGGACCGGACGGGGGTCATTTCTTGGCGTCATGTCTGGCGCGTTTTACAATTAGACAATGATATTTTTAGTGCATCTTTGTCTCTTTGTTTAAGAGGTAGAAATGACTTTCTACCCGCTGAGCAGAAAGATTATGTGTTTTTATCCACCTTAAAAGCTGCTCATCCGTCACACAGGCTCACTGGGGCTGAATCAATCCCAGCAGATATTTCATATTCATTCAATTCTAAATATAATATCCTGTTTGTATTGTTACATTAAATAGCCTGTAATTCATATTGAAAACTGCTTTTCGTTGCTCCTCTGATACTGAATGAAGGAGGATGAATTGATTTGTTAGAAACCGTAAATAATGTTTATTTATCCCACAAAGTCATCTGAAGCACACACATTCAAAATAAAAACATTTTATAAATCTTCACATTTAAAAGTTTACAGTAAAACAAACGCTTTGCAAACAGTGTTTTTTGTGTGTAGTATTACGTCTTTGCATCTTGTTCGGTGTCTTGTTACAATAATGTATTATTTTTCCTGATGAAGTGAAGTTGCCTGGATATTTAGATATTAAATGCAATATTTTAAACCAAAAGCTTCTTTTTGGTCTTATTGAAAATACTGAAATCAGATCATCTTGCAGTCGGTTACGTGTCAGGATGTTTGAAAACCTGTGATACATTAAATAATACTATCAGTAATAAACTGGTTAAGTTTACCCCATTCATCTATCTGTGATTTTAATAAGCATCTTACATTCCCCTAAAGGGGTATTTAGTATATTTTACATTTATACAAAAGCATAATGCAAATATAAGAATTATTACGTACAATAACTACGACAGTTCTGCTGCAGGAATCCAAAGAAGTTTGTAGAAGTTTGTCTCCACTGGTTGTTTGTGGAGCTGGTTGGCTGCATCAATGCTGTGTGACGCCTTTAACTACTCCAGGCTCGTAGTACTTCAGGCTTGTAGTACTTCAGGCTTGTAGTACTTCATGCTCGTAGTACTCTGGTAAAAAGATCATTACAGCTTTGCTTCTATAGACTACATCGTCTGGTAGAGATTAAAAGGAAAACTTCCAGTTAGAGTTAACCCCTTAATATTTAGGTTAACCCCATATATATATATATATATATATATATATATATATATATATATATATATATATGTACACATATATATATATATACACACAAATATATGTATATATATATATACACATTAAAATATATATATATATTATATATATATATATTTATTTATTTATTTTTAATGTATATATATTTTATTATTATTTTTATTTTTTAAATATATATACATATATATTAATATATATATATATATACACATGAAAAAAATAATAATACATATATTATTTTTATATATATACTGCATGTTCTCCCCGTGTTTAATAAATGTATTGGAGTAAAACTTACTACCAACAGTAGTTGAGAAGAAGTATTTACGTTATTGCAGTACAGAACTTAAATAGATGTAGTAACTTTCCACTACCGCTAGCTAGCAGCTAAAGCTCGCTGCACAGCTAGCTAGCTACCGTTTGTACCTGAGGTTATTGAAATGTTGTTTAAAACACTTAAAGATTCCTGTCCAGTGAAGACAAACTTCAAATATGGCTCCAACATTTACAAGACAGCCGTCCTCTAGTTCGCATGGACGCAAAGCTTCATTCAGTAGAAACCTTCTCGGTTTGAACTTGTTTTAAAGTATCAGACGGCTTAATATAAAAGTAAAACACAAAAGATCTTAATAAGTTTTGATGAGCTGATGTTGAACAATAAAAAGCACAATCAGAGGACAACAGGAAGCTCTTCACACATTATTTCAATGATTTATTAATGATTGAATAACTTTCCATAATTCACCTTACAACAGAACAACACACATGAAATAAAATTGTGCAATTATTTAAACTTTCAAATTTCTAAAAATGATTTGAATAGTAGATGAAATTTCCTTTTTTTAAACCTTCTATTAATGTAAACTGGGTGGTATATTGTTTTCATAATAGAAAAGAAACAAACTATGACATATTCAGGCCAATATTCAGGTTTCATCAACTAATACAGATAAAATATATGTCATCGGCGATGATGGAGTCAGCAGGATAATGTTTACAACAAAGGTCACACACTTGGTCGGAGTAAATCGTAGATAGAACAGAAATAGGAAAGAACACTGCAGGGACACATTTGGGCAAAAAGATGTAACACGTTTGACTCCTTTCAACTTCTCGGCTCTCGGTCTGCAGCTCTGCTTCTACGCTCACGTTTATCAGCGACTGAACTCGCTGATCCTTCGCTTCACTTTTCTCTCTTTCAAGAAGTTATGAAATGTTAGAAATCTGGAGCCGAGGAGCTTAGAAATAAAACTTATTCTGGTTCATTATGAAACTGAAATGAAGAGCGTGGGTCGAGGTAGTTCATTAATAATCGGTCCAATACTGACTGCAAAAGCTGGATTGCGTATTGAAGACACTCGGCCCGACTGGATCTGTTACCATTATTTCACTCATTTTTGATCTACTTTGATATTCATGTATTTATTTGTTACCTTTAGGTTGAAAACGTGACTGAAGTTTTTGAAAAGCTGGATTTGTGCGACTCTAATTTCTAAGCAGAGGGTCTCGTATTTGGTCTTTATGGAATCATTTTTGGACTTTTGACATTTTGATTGACTCGGTTCTTCAGAGTTTCTCTCCTCGTTCTAATTTAGCCAACATCTCTGCCTTTTGCCTCATGGTTGTCAGGGACTCAACTCGTTTCTTCCAGCCTGGCTCGGCTGAAGCTTTCTCCCCCTCAATGAGCATGTCGATGTACTCTGGAGTGGAGAGAGGATTTGGCTTCAGGGCGATCTCTTTCAGTCTGTTTAGAGAGTCGGCAGAAGTCTTCATCAACTTCTCTACTACCTCCTGGACACGAGCATGATCAGCATTGAGTTTTCCAACCAGTTCTTGGACCGGAGCTTTAGCATCTTTGGCTACCTCGTACTTTTTTTTCAGATCGTCCATTGTTGTTTTTACCTGAACTGGCTTATACTCCCATTTGTACTTCTGATTGAAGTGTTGACTCCAGTAGCATTTACTTGGGCACTGTTTACAGTGTCCATCTGGTCCCATTGCGATGCACCCGTGTTTTTCCTTATCATTGGCAATCCCACAATTATCGTGGCAGGTGAAATGGCACTGCTGACAGTTGGTGAGGTAAACCCCTGTTCCAGAAATGTCTACTTGGAATGGCTTGCTGACCGTGGTTTCCACCACAAAGTCCTTATTCCTGGTGATCTCGGCCTCAAACGTCTTCAGTTTTTCAGTTGTCTCTTTAATCTCCTCAAGCTTAGCTAACCCAAGTTTCACCTGCTTCTGCAAATTTTCGAGGGAATTCTCGAGCTGCTTTCTCTCTCTGAGGACCTGCTGGGTCATCGTCAGGCTTTTGGTTTCAATGATATTTAAAGCAACAAAGAACCTCTTCATGCTTTTTGACCCCATCTTCCAAAACATTTTATCAAAGCCTTCATCTTCGTCATCGTCTGCTGCAGATGATTTGTTGTCTGCAAACAAGGCAGAATTGTTGAATTTGAAGTGCATGGGCAGCCCGTTCTCTTTGGGACACGGGACCTCTGCAGCATTGATCGCCTCTAGAATCGGAGGTCTCTGGCCGTCTGCAAATGTCACCAGAATGCGGATGTTTTCTGCCACATCTTTGCCAAAGATCGCGAGCACAGAATCAAACACGTACCTCTGTGAGTGCGTGAGTCGGGCTAAAGAAGCCTGAGCTACGAAACACACGGCGTCAATATCGCGGACCCCGTTGGGAGCAGAGAAGAGGTTCCGAAGCTGCTCTATGATCTCTCGGTCTCGGTCTATGCCTCTTGTATCTCCAAACCCTGGAGTGTCGACGATGGTCAGAGAGCAATCCATTGCGAAGCCTTCCCTGTGGTGGATTCTGTACACTGTGACGTCAGAAGTCTGGCTCTCAGCCTGTGATTTGGCTTCACCGTCATCGACTATCTGGAAGCGAAACGAATCCCCCCACTCCACACCCAGAATGTAGTTGATCATCCCGTTGATGAGAGTCGACTTCCCGGCACCAGTCGCCCCGAGGACCATTATGGTGCGATTGGACTTTGGCCGTTTGGCCTCTTTCCCATAATGGAAATATTTGCATCCTGTTATATTGATCTTATTCTCCTCTAGAGGGATTTTATAGATGGATAGAGACCCTGTCTCTTTGAGGAGTGTACTTTTCACTCTAACAGCATCAGCAAGCCGCTTGGGGGGATTGACATGATCAATCACAGCGTGATAAATATTCATTTTAAAGGCACAATGAAACGGTACCAGGACCGGCCCTCTGAAAGCTACAGCTTGTCTTCTGCTCTCGAAGTTCTCTCGGGTCCGGATCTGCAAAATATGACAAATATTAATCATCTTTCTTCTGCATTAGAACGGCTCCAGGCTCAGATTGCTACGAGGAATATTGAACTGAGTATCTGGTGGAATCAGTATTCATGTCACGTTCATATTTTCCTTTTTAACACATTGTTGGACTGATTTCAATCAGAGGAACGTTGCTATGAAACACCAGAAGAAGAGCAGGACGTACTTCCAGCCTTCCTGAAGTACCGATGGACCTCAGCAAACCATCCGCTCTGACATCTTAATGATTTAGCAGAACTTGCAGCATTCACCAGTTTTCTGGTAACAATTTACGAGTAGTAAGAATAACGTAGAATTAGTCTGTTGATTAAGGAAATGGTTTCAACTAATGTGTATTTCTTTACTTTGAGTTTGATACGTCTATATGAATCCCATCGCATTAAGTTTAGGGACGATATCGTTTGGGTTTTTACACTTTTAAAACGATGCCTGAACAATACCGTAAACATCAATAAATTAAAAACACCGGGATTCAAACTACAGCTTCAAACTTTTCAACTTTAAACTACGAACATCGTCTCATATATAAGTGTTTGCAGTGAGCTTCTTCTGTCTGGTCCGTGATGGGAAGCAGTTACGAGGAGAGCTAGAGGAGAGCTAGATAAAGCTACCGGTCGCATAGGAACCGGTACCAATACGCACCGGTTGCCGGTACCAAACCCTGATTGTCTTGTTGGACTCAAACAGATCAGATCACAGCGTCACTCACCTGTCAGCTCGTCTCCCGTCGGCAGCGGAGGAAGAGTTCTGATTCAGTTCTGTGGCTCCTTTAGACCAACTGTGCACGCGCACACACACACACGCACACACGCACACACACACGCACACACACGCGCACACACACACACACGCACACACACACACGCACACAAAGTGAGACGTTAACAGAAAGGCAGCAGTAATGAAGGTAAAGGAGAATCTGTGTCTATATAACAGATGTTGACAACACGTTCAAGCTGCAATAAAAAGAATCTCTGTATCTTATTACTGTACATACATTATATGTGTGTCCACATATAGATCACCTGATGCCACAATGTCTCCTGATCCACTCAAACAGTGAAAGTATCTTCTCAAGATGCACTAAAGAAACATGAACACAGATTAAATCATCATCTTCAGTATCATAGAAACATGAAACGTGTCTAAAGCTTCTTACCTCTCAGTGAGTCTCTGAGGCAGGAAGAGGTCTGCTACTGCTTTTATACACACACACACACACACACACATCCTCACACACACACACACACACACACACACACACAAACTTTCAATAAGTCAGTCCATTTCCACGAAACCCCAAACCAGTAAAAATGAAAGTAGATTGACAATAAACACACACACACACACACACACACACACACATCCTCACACACACACACACACACATCCTCACACACACATCCTCACACACACACACACACAACGCACACACACACACACACATACACACACACACACACACAT